GCGTAGGGCCGAAATACGGGTCATATGATAAGTATCCGTATACTTCCACGTTTTCGTCCCACATACGTATTCGAGAAACATTTCCAGTTGCATATCTTATATTTGCGCGACATAACAGAACGTTTGTTGTATTTTTACAGTTTGTGGGACATGATTCGTGCCGAACACTCCAATCTTTCAGAAATTTGCGTTGAGATCCTTCTCCATTGCATATGTCTGCCGTACGGTGCGGAAAAATTCTGCGACAACGTAGAAAACGCATTTACTGACGACGACTGGCGGGTGCGCTTCGCTGGCGTCGAGAAATTCACCGTCATYGCTCGATTTCTCGATATCGAACAGATCAAGTCGAACAAACTCGCAATGTCCGCTCTTGCCCAGTCTTTCACGTTCYTGGTTGGCGCGGTAGAAGACATTTGCACTCCAGTCTCCACGCGGGCCATAGCTATGCTGAATACGATCAAGTCCTCTTCACTGAAGACTCTTTACTCGTGTATAGAACATCAGTACGACGCGGCACCAAAAGATCGTCTTCTRTTGATCCATACSTGTAGGATACTTCACAGGACTTTGCCTCACTATACCCCCCTGTGTGGGCAATTCTTCATACGGAGATTTAAGCATCTTTTAATTGAAAATGCTGATTATGTGTCGTTTGGAAGCCCTAAAGCGAGATCGCCTGCGGCTGGTGGTTCGTCTTTTATTAGTCCAATGAGTGAGACTGCGACGCCTACAGACGCTGATGGATCGAAAAGAACTGGTAAGAAACCATCGCACGTTGTTGATGCGACGAACCCAATGGTTTTTATTTTTTCGCAGTAGTATCTCGAGCCTCAACCAAATTTTAAGTTTGTTGTGTGTAAAATAAATGCTTAAAAGGAGCATTCCTTAAGGCACGAYGGTAGCACTTCATTTGAACCGGATCTTCGTCGCTGTATAAAGCGTGGATTTCACTAGCGCATAAGCATAGGCATAAGCACGAAGCACGAGAGTCATATGCTCCAGTAAGAACGGGCTCAAAATAAGCATAAGCATGAGCACAAGAAAAATGAGCAAGGATTGATCCTCTTGTGCTTATCTCATGCTTATCTCATGCTTATGCTCAGTGAAAACGGGACTGCATAGGCATAAGCATAGCCTGGTACCGAAATATTACGCTCGTGCGCATGCTCAATGTCTTATGCTTATGTCGAGCCCGTTCTCACTGGCGCATATGATTCTCATGCTTGTGCTTATGCTATGCTTATGCGGTAGTGAAATCCACGCTTAAACCTATGGCTCTTTTACGTTATACACCGTATATCCAGTGTTTGCGATAAAACATGGCGAATTTCTGTTGTCCCCTGAAACTGCTCCCACCATGCATTGCAAATCAAGGAAGTAAAGTAAAAGCTTCCAAAGTACTATTCCGAATGTGAATTCTTCGGGAAACGTTTCTTGCGTGTACGTGTAATTCCAAAAAACTTACCAATGTATATATCTGCGCCATTAATATTGTGTAGACTACGGAAAAATGTATTGAGGACTTTAGGTTAGATTGTAGGTTATTAGATACTAATTACTTACAGCGTTTTTAAAATCGTTGTGTTTTCTTGCTTGTGTAGAACGTTGGCGTTCGCAGTCGTCTTCAAAAGGATCTTCTTCCCGTCAGTCACGAGACCTGSCAGGCAACCGGTCTCTCAAGAGTCAGTCCCCTACGTTCCGGTGTAGTTACACTTTCAGAATGGCTGGCGATAAAATAAGCTACAACAGACATACTTCAAATTCTTCAGAAGGTATGAAATGACTTAATAATAGAGGAAAGTAGCCTCTCCCGCATCCATCTCTTCCGTTTTCCACGGAGGAGGCTAAGATTTAAGAATAACACAATTCGAAAGGTTTTACGACTCCGCAATGCTCCAATGATGTTTGCAAACAAAGATGTGGTCCCATGGTGTAATGGTTAGCACTTTGGACTTTGAATCCAGCGATCCGAGTTCAAGTCTCGGTGGGACCTCTATTTTTTTTCATGTTCATTCATTGCGATAACGAAGAAAATCGAATAATAAATGGAGCTTTCCGTTCTCTCTGTCTCTACCGACTTCAGACAGATTCATTTTCATTTGTCTGTCAAATAGGAATTGTACTATTTTATTTAAAAATACTATTATTAGCTCACAATAGTTTAACTTATGACATGCGACAAACTAATTAGGCAAACACGGTTTTGATTTTGCCTTTTGGTAGCCTACTACATCCTAATAGTTACTATTAAATACTAACTAGTAGTAGTTGTTTCACAGACGAAAGAAAATGACTCTAGGAAAGTTGGAACGATAGGATTGTCAAGTCTTTTGTCCATGTATTTCACGTACGGTGTTAAATGACGCCAATCTACTCTCGCCTATTTTGTCAAAAGATAGTTTAGTTTACCTAATGGACAAAATTCACATTCTATCGATATGAACTTCTTGATGAACATAAAAAAGATGTAGGTCCCACCGAGATTTGAACTCGGATCGCTGGATTCAGAGTCCAGAGTGCTAACCATTACACCATGGGACCACTGACAAATTTACTTGGAATTCTTCCCAAGAAAAACCTGTTAATGTTATATTAATTGTTAAGATRCTACAAAACGTCTGAAAAAGAATGAGGTCCCACCGAGACTTGAACTCGGATCGCTGGATTCAAAGTCCAGAGTGCTAACCATTACACCATGGGACCATTTATTGGAYAAGTTGTCGTTAGATGTGGTACTTATAGCAGGTCACAACTGGTGGCTCAAGTTAATGAAGATTGTCTTCAAATTTACAATTGATTGAGATAATTTTAAAAAATCAGTCTTACATTAACATATATCATTATTTTTTCGTTCATCGATTCAGTCAGTTTTTTTAATGATTGATCCATCCAGTCCATTGATTGACAATCAATCATTTATTGATTTAGATATTTATTCGGAAGTTTATTTTTCCATTCACTCGCCCGTTCATTCATTTAATCATCCGCCAATTGTTTACCCATCTATTCAAGCATTTACTTTTTGTTGATATTTATCTTTTTTTATTTTCCTTTTTTTTCTTTCCTTCACTAATCAATGGATTGATTCAGATGATTTTCGCTGACTTTTTTCACTAACTCTTAATTTATCAATCTTAAGTGTTTATCAATCGCTTTAATGSACGGCTAGTTTCACATAAATTTCGTGCAATGCATTTCGGGCTGCAGGAAAATTTCCTCTCTTTGTTCCACGGCATTTTTACTGGTCACCCAAWWAAGTATTTTGATTGTTAAATTTGACATATTTACTCCTTCATTACCCAAGGTGCCTCGACGAGTGGTAGACAGCGCCGSACTGGTGGCTTCAGTTCTCAAATGGGTCTTCCTTCAGACATCACTGATCGAATGTTTCTCGGCGGACGTATCGGCGTTGGTGTTACCGCCGACAATTTATCGATCGTTGAAGAAGAAGCTGACTCGGAAAGAGCCGATAATGACTCGGCTAAAATTTCTCGTGCCTCATTAGAGTCGGCGCACAGCCAAGAACCGGTGAGATGAAAAGCCATCTATTTGTTGTTGTTGCTGTTGCTGTTGTTGTTGTTGCTACTGTTTCTGCTGTTGTTGTTGTTGCTTTCACAAAGCTTTGAAAATGCCCTCTTGAAGGAGGACAGTCAAGGCGAGAAARAAAGGAGAGCGCTCCCTCCCTTTTTTCTCACATCCCTTTTTTCTATCTTCCCAATCCTTCTCAAACCTYTCTAATAGGCTAATCAAAAGTTTGTTACGAAAACACAGGCCCAGGCCACCACCCAAGAGAGCGGTGACCTCGAGGCAGCTGCCACACACCAGCTTGTTACCTTGGTGATGGACTTCCTTGCCTACCCAGGMGTTAAGGAAACATCGTCAAAGTTTGTGAAGACAGAGAGCTACGAAGTAGTTCAGATGAGTCATTACTTGGGGGTGTTGATGGGATATGACATCAAAGTAGGCGAGTTTACTGGTGATCCACGAAGACTGAGGTAATGACCCTTTCTTCTTTAAAACCTTATTACAACGCGTACTATGATTGGTCAGAACGTGCGCGCTAGGTCGATTTCTAATATTTCGGTTTAAATAATTGCAACTAATTTAATAAGAAGTCACATCGATTTATGTCATTGTAACGCTGAGGATTATGGTCCCTATAGAGGGTGAGGTCTCCCCCAAAACTCCAAGCGGATGAGCATTTAGTCCAAATTTCCCGCTATTTTTCTCGGCAAATCTGTTCTTAACAGCAAACACGCTCTGACTTCATTTCGGAAGATGGCAAGTGGACAGCGTTTGATACCTTCTCACAGCTAACTTTAATGTTGCCCATTTTGATTTCAGGTTGTTTCCAGTCTTCCACGCGTACATGAGTGGAATAGTCCCAGTCCTCGATCAGAACCACGACTGGGGCGAAGAGCTGATCAATCTTACTCTRCAACTGTTGCTGTTTTGCGCTGCACCTAAGTCACAAAAGAGAATCGAGCAGCCAGACTTTACTCTTATCAGGCTCAGTCAGCCAATGAGACGTACCTGGCTAATGACCTTACTCATCATACTGTATAAGGTATCTATTATCAAATAGGAAGTCATCTATTGAGCTATAAAAGATCAATAGAAGACTGAGCGCTATTGGCTGATAGTGAATAGCATTAATTTTCATATTTCATAATGCACTTGTAATTTTTAGTACCCATTCTTCCACGATTCCCACAGAAGGGACACAAAGAACCTTATTACGGTGGTGATAAATACACTAGAGGCCCATGACCATAAATGTCCTGGTCCAAGAAGTGCCATAAAYAAGAGCAAAAGTACCTCAATGTTGGACATAGACGCCAATGCTGACGACGGCACATTGAGACCAGGTTTGTTCTGTTCATAAAACTAGGTAGAACAAGGAGAACTCATACGAAGAATGGGTCTTTTAACACGAAAAGCATGTGCGTTTAGCTGAATAATACAACATAATTGCCCTATAACACTAYGACGTCACATGAAAATATATTATAAGGCCGCTAGGGATTATGGTCCAAAAGGAAAAAAATTGCAGAGTCAGCACCGATCGGAACGGGTCTCATGATAGGTTGAGAAAACGTTGAACAAACAATAGATAAGTCTTCCAACAATAAAGGCAAAACCTAACAATAGAACTGCATCAAAAAGCAGGTTTCGATTGGTACTGCATCACTGAAATTGCAAGGAGATAAAAAAAAGCGATAAAACAATTTATTCTGACTAGGATAAGATAAGTGACTCAAAAAAAAAAACACTCTAAATACAGACACGAAATGATTAACACATGCAGTTGAAAAGCAAGCAGTTTGAAGCTCATTATAATTGAGTGTTTTAGATGCTGTTCCCCCTATGTAAATATGCTGTGACGAAATAGTGTTATAGACGAATCACGAGAATGTTTTGTGACGTATATAACAATCTAGCAACCTTTTTAGATACTCCTGGCAGTCCTAGGTACAAACGCACAGAAACAAGCCGTTCATCGCCAACATACAAGCAACGTCTGTCAACWTGCTCCACAGAAGTTCCTGATAAAGAGTTCAAGACGGAAGARGACCCTAAGAACCTACCTCTAATGGCGATTCACGAAACATCGTTTGTCGGTCCCGACTCGCCACAACAAAAAGCAACCACYAGTACTCCTTTGTTGGAGTTTAACACAGGGGTGGGKAGTTCTCGTGGTGGTAGTTCGGGTGCTTTGACAGACGAGGAAAGAAATGCAGAGCTGCGTCCATTGATTGATGGGCCGCCTGATAAAGTTGTCGGCAAAAAAGGTTAGAAATTTTTATCATATGATGGTGGTTGTGATAATTCCTGAAGTCAAGTTACTTTATTTCACATTCAAGAACAGGAAAGCTCAAACGAAAAAATAAAATGAAGATCTTGACGCGACTGCGACTTTGTTGAGTTTGTCAGTTTAAGCAAAAAAGGCGGGAAAATACAGATCTTGACGCGACTGCGACTTTGTTGAGTATGTCAGTTCAAACAAAAAAGGCGGGAAAATCCAAAATCTTGACGCGCGCGTCGTGACTAAGATATAGTTGACCTCATGTCATCAGCTATGTCGTCAACTGATTTCTATTAAATTAACATTATCTTTCATTATCAATAAGTGATATTTGTAAACAACTACTGTATTAGAAGATGACCAAACAAATGTTTCTCTAAAATCCAAAATCATAGTAAATAAATATTGATATTTMATAACCATAAACTGAACRACCCTTACCTTTCAGCCCAGGGACGCTCGTCACGTGGTGACACAGGAACTCGTGATAAACGTACTTACTTTTATAATCTTGCAAGGCGATATAAATCAGCCCTGACGTCATTGCACGGTAAAAATAGAATGAATAAATAAATAAAATGGTTTAAAATCATTTTGCTTCAGGCTCGTTGAGTTGTAGCTACAACTGAAGCACAGTAACTAACAAACACGGTTGAAATGTAAATACTAAAGACCAGAATGAACGCACTTAATCCAAATGTTCTATTATTAAAACAAAATGTACCTTAGAAGCAAATAGACCTCTGAAGCTTTTACGTCATGTTCCGTATACGCAATGCATTGTTGGATATGTTTTGGACAAAACATGGCGGATTTCTTTTGTTTTMTCTAGAAACTGATCMMACAATGCATTGAAAATCAAGTAGTGACGTAAAAGGTTCAGAAGTCTATTYAAGCAATTTTAAACGAAATCATGAGATTTGTTGCTTTAAAATATAACGAGGTATAAAAAGACAACGACTCCATAAAATTGATTAATYAATATAAATTTATGATAACTTTCGWAAATAAGTCTTAGGAACTATAACAATTTATTGTAACTCGTCCTTGAAATCTTTTTAAATTAATCATCAAAAGAAGTCGATAGTCTATGTAAATGAAAAAAGAAAAAATCATTTCTCTGATAGTCCGTTTTGACTAATAATCTCTCTAGTTTCAGTSGATTCCACCACAAGYCGAGATACCAAGGACAGCCTAGAAGGTGTCCTGTCCATTGGCACGGATGATGGCCGAAAGSTCTCTCGCCCCAAGCTCTTAGCCGGAGTGTCAATGCGGTCAATGGACCATTCTATTGAAAGGTCTTTGGACAAGTTCATAGAGACCGCGGGCGATAAAGAGCCTGAGCTACAAGATATAGACCTTGATGTGTGCCCTGAATGTGGAGCTACTCTTGAGGAGTTTGACGAGGAAACGCTAAACATGGCAATCGTTGTTTTGTCGACTTACGTACACCAGAGTCCTTCAATGGCTATGCCGTATTTGTTAAGAATGCTGGAATGTGTTGGAAGGTTGGTGTCTTGCTCTGTAGAATTTTGCAACTAAGTGGTGGCCAAGGTTGTTCTTCTTGTTCTTCTTGTTCTTCTTGTTCTTCTTGTTCTTCTTGTTCTTCTTGTTCTTCTTGTTCTTCTTGTTCTTGTTCTTGTTTTTGTTCTTTACATTTTTTTAATTTCTTACTAAAACAGAAAGTGCGTCCATCCGATGTTTCCTTGGCAAGACAAGAGGTAATTGTTACTTCGATCTATTTGTCTTTACGTCTCTTTCTAGAACGTGCAGTCAATACTTATTTGTAAGAATTCAATGTGTTTATTCTTTTAGTGATGTCCTTGTTCCTGGTTCAAACACCGAGGTTGCCAAGCAGTTTCTAAGATGCGTCCTTATCAAACTGGCTCCAAATGGAATTTTCTCTGAACTTTTCCGTACGTCGTTTGATGGTAMGTTTTTGTATGATTAGCGCTGCCTGCTTTTCATTTGTTTTTTCTGTATTCCCTTTCTTTCTGCTTACCTTATTCTTTCCACCTTCCCACTCTATCTGCTTCCTTCCTTCTCTTTTCTCCTTCCACTCTTCCTCCCTTCAAAATTTCATAGGCCTAGCAAGTCTTACAGAGCATTGTTGTTGCAGATGAACTTTTGTTGAAAGCAATTGCCTATGCTTTGAATGACTATTCTGCGTTTGACCAGATGTCRCCTATTGCTTATTTGCTAGAGGTAGGTTCCTTTCAAGTATTTTTAGCACTGAAAAAAGAGTATTATGCATTCACTGCAACACTTGAGCTTTTAAAAATAAGTGGATAAATGGGTGATTTTTTGTTGCTGTTGTAGTAGTTACTTTTCTTTTTTTTATTTCATTTTTGTGTTTTTTGTGGATGAAATCTTAAATAATACTTTGTCAAACTCACAAGGTTAATTTACAATTAACTTCCCCAGGACATTCTCGGATTTCGMACATTAAGTGATCGTGTTATGCTTCTTTTGACGAATCTTTCGATGTACTTCAAACACGCCTCCAAAGAGACGACCAGCGCATGGTCCAGTCAGCTATCACACTTTGAAAACTTCTTCAGAAAACTACCCTCTGCGCTTCCAGAAAACGTAAGTGATTGTAAGCATAATTCCATTCTATATCACAATGTGAGGTTTTGTCTTCTTGACATCCCATAATATCTTCATAACGTCATTATGTGCAGAAAGAGATGATGGGAATACTCCAATTTCGAGTTCTGGTTTGCTCTGTGTTAGCCTCAAAACCAAGTAAAATATTCTTTTGATTTATTAATAGCCCGAGAAAATGCAAGGAATTTGTGAAGAAAAACAATAAAATTGATTTGAAATCTCACACTTTTATTCTCACAATTAGGAATATTTTGCGCACAAATGAGGCTAACACAGAGCATTGGAGAATTCGAAACTGGATTATTGCAGTCCTCGTTAAAAACGGTTATTTTCTTTGGCGGTTTTTAGGGAGATTTTTGGGGCCACGGTGAAAAATGCGATGACTACAAYTCGCAGGCATGCTTTGTGGTACAAAATGGCGTAGCAGCACATTCCCTATTGGCTGTACGATATATTTATCAAATGAATTAATTTATTTGACGTTTTCAGTGTGACATTACTCCAGCATTCCAAATCATGAGCTGCATTCTGACAGCCGCAAATTCATCCTTTAAGGTATCCTTTCTGTCTTTTACCATAGTCCTTATTACGATTCGCGGAAAGACTTAATGTAATGTAACGTAATGCACTTGGGGATTGATAAATGAGCAAACAAGGGAGCAACGATGTCTGAGTGCTCCAGTTGTCTGTGACGCACACTCAGTTTTCGAAAAATATTGGGAAATATTGATATTGTAGTAATCTCAGAAGCATACTGCGAAAAACAAAACAAATATCAACAAGCAATAAGAAATACAGCAAGAAAACCCACCCAAAAATGTTCTATTTATCGAGAATTTCCATTTACTAGGCAAATCAAGCAAAATTGAAAACAAACGTATATTTTTTCTGTGGAAATTATTGTTTTTTACGATTTTAACGATTTGTTTTGATGAAGAAAGGTAGATTTATATCCTATGACACATTGCAAACCGATTCAAAATGGCGGGCTTGTAATATGGACTATGGTATAACGATATAACGATCATAACCATAACGATTTGTCAATTTGGAATTTTATTATGCATTATTTTTTTTTATTGATGTCCACCGCAGGAACTGCTTCATCCTTTCGGCCAAGTTATTGCTTTTGGAATCAACAAGGCGTCGTTTCAACTGCAAGACTTGCTTGATTTGTGTTCCAAGTGCAATGAAACCTTTCCTAAGGTATGTAATCTAATACACAAGCAAAATCGATGATTTTATCCCAACAGTTTAGTAATTGCTCGATTTGCATATGCTTGTTCAATTGTT